TTTTTCTATGCATGGCCGGCCAAAGTGGAGAAGGAGAGAGAGAAAAATAAATCATACCCCTTGTACTTTAGTCCACTCTCTTAAGTTACCTTTGCATCAGGTAAAAATCACACTGACTGTAAAGGGTACTTAGCTGACAGGAAATTCTTGTTTCTGACAGTTCTCTTATTTTTTTCTACTACTTATTTACAGTTCAACTTTTAAATCCTCGTCTGCTTTGATATCACGTTAAATTCTTACTCGCGTAATATCTTAAACTGTTTCAAGTCTTGAAATTAATTCTAGACTGAATAAATTATAAATTTAACTTTTTTGCATTATATCCCGGGAATGACATTATTTCTGACGGTGTCAACTCCTTAGCTCACATTGTACCCTTCTACTATAGGTATCTATCTTGTGACTTTAACCTAGCTGTCTGGCAATTAAGGATTTTCTCTTCTTTAAAAATGCAGTGCGTTTTTTTTACGCTGCTAACATCATGCTGTGTTTGGAGATTCTTGAAATTAAGATTCTCAAACTATACTTGTACTGAAAATTATTCCGCCTTAAAGAATGGCAAGAATTTATCGATCGAATTTACTTGATCGAAAACATGAACTTAACATGAAATCTGCTACAGAATTTAGGAATACATATATTGATTCCATAAATCCTTCAGTCACATAATAATTTCTAGGAAAATCCTTGGCTTAAATAAATAAATTGTATTATTTAAAGTCTGGAATTTTCTCAGTCATTACAACTAATGTGCAGCAAAATTGCTGGTGCAACATATAGTGTATGAGTTCCAAGCATTTGTGGTTGCTATTATGTTATGAGAGAATATTTGGTAATGTATTCATTTTTTATCTACCTACCCAGTTCGTCTTTTTTAGGGACTCATAATCTTTGGAAAGTCATGACAAAAGACTAAAACGCCAACTTCCTATTTAAAAGACATTCATTACACTAATTAATAATGACTTCTCTAATTCTAGTTACACTCTTGGTCGACTCAAAAGTGGAGCGTAAAGCTATTATTTAAAGTTCCTAATTGGTATGATTTCTGAAATGTGAAAGAAACATTTGTAACTAGCTCCGGAGCTTATTTTTCTTCTTTTCTTTTGAGCAAAAGGAAATGTTTAAGGTCCAATACTTTATCTATCACGCATTCTTAGCTCTTGTCACGCCATTTGTATGCGGAGTTCTTCACTACCATCTCGGAAGTTTGGCCTTACTTGACTTGCTATTGTAAAGCGAAAAACTGTAAACAATAATCTCCCGAAAGAACTGACAATTGGGCTGTTTCTGTTGGCCAGCCAGACAACTGTTAGCTGGAGATTCTTGTACTAAATTCCCAAGTAAACTGGCTTTCTCTCAAGGTGTCTTTCAATGGAGATTGTTGAGGTTGAAGATAGCAACCTAGGATATAAGATTAAAAGCCGACGAAATTCCATTTGTTGTCTGATCATGTGAGACTGAAGAATCTGGTCTATGATCAAGAACACAACGAGTTTGATATTGAGATATTCACATTGAATTTGGAAAGTCAGAATTCCATGGTTTGGCTTTGTTTTTTCAGCAAAACAAAGATTTAACCTTCATAACTAATGTTTGTACTTGGATGATGCATATTTTATATTCTCAAATTAATCTTTCTACAAGAAAAACAAAAATCAATGAAAAATCTTTGAGCTAGATGCGACATGGTCGGCCGCTCGTGGGGAAATTGGATGCACCCTCGTAGTTTTGGGCCTCTAGTCTCCTTATGCCCACCAGGCACCACAACACTCGCTTATCATCAGTTTCACCACAAGCCCTTGTTTCCAAGTAAATTCATGGTTCTAAAACGTCGTAAGTTTCAACTTTAGCGGGGAACCGGTGCTTTCACGATGCCTGCATTTTCCATGTTCTCATGACACAGTCACATAGACATGAGAAAGATTTGTCCTCCAAATATCCACGTGCAAGAGCTTTTAAACTTGTGAAAGAATTCAAGTGTACACCTCATCTTTGAGACTAGTTTTAGTGTTTGGTATTTACTGGTAAACAGAGTTGAGTATAAACTCATCTTTGCTCTGCAACTCAACTTCATTCTTTTTTATTTATTTATTTATTTTTTTGCTGGTTAACTATGTCAACTTCAATTGTTACTACTTTCATCAGTTCCAATCTTCATCGACTTCATTACTGTAATGCAAAGGGTTGTGGAGTAGGAAAAGATGCTCCTCTTGAAACATCAAGTATCTCGTATTTACTGAACTAAACAAATCAAATTAAAATGAATCTTATGCTTTGACAATCTATGGAACTCAAAAACTGTAGGAAGATTCTGTGGAACAATATGTACAGAAAAATGTGGTTCGTTACACAAGATGTATAGTGAAAAAACATGCACGTCTAATAAGGACGTAGCTTCTACCTGCCATCTATCACTGTGACTGTGACTTGGTTCACAGTGCACGATTGATCTTCCTGCTTGCTCGACCATGAATTGGTGTCAACTGGAGTCCTGCAGAGGCTAAAACCGGGGTTTTTAGGCTGAGGCATTGTTGCAGTCTCGCTACCCAGCGTCAAAACCACAGAGCACATATTAGGTCTATCTTCTGCACGCTCTTGGACGCATAAGAGGCCGACTTGTATGCACCTTAACACCTCAGAGGCAGAGTATGACTCACCAATTGATGAATCTACGAGTTCCAACGCCTTTCCTTCCTTCCATAGATTCCAGGCCTGCAACAATTTTGACATGAAATTGATGTAAAAAAAATGAGCCATAAAAAAAGAAGATTACAATGCACAAGTTATTCTATTAACTCACATGTCCTAGAAGGTTTAGTTCACTGTTTGCATGATAAAATCCCCTGTTCTTTTTACCACTAACGATCTCCAGCACCAGAACACCGAAACTAAAGGCGTCAGATTTCACCGAGAAGAGCCCATCCATTGCATATTCAGGAGACATATATCCACTGCACATCAATTAAAAATATGGAGTGAAGATTTGTTGGGTTATTGGAGTTAGAAATGTAGATTGTATTAAGGTAAGAGCTTATTTTGATACTCACTATGTTCCCACTACTCTTATTGTGTTTGCTTGAGTCTGATCCCTACTAAACATTCTTGCCATTCCAAAGTCTGATATCTTTGGGGTCATTTCTCTATCAAGCAGGATGTTGCTTGCCTTGAGGTCCCTATGAATAATTCTAAATCGCGAATCTTGGTGAAGGTAAAGAAGCCCACGAGCAATTCCACAAATAATATTGAAGCGCTTTTGCCAATCAAGCAAAGAGCTTTTCGCCTTATCTGCATTTATGTTTTTAGTATAATCATAAATCTCAAGCATTCAATATGTAAAGAAATACAACTCTACTAAAAGATCAAGTCAAAGGACTTACTGAATAAAATAGAATCCAAGCTTCTATTTTCCATGTATTCGTATATCAGCATCTTGTCGTCCATCTCAATGCAGAAGCCAAGTAAACGGACCAGATTAATGTGTTGAAGCTTAGCAATCAATCTGACCTCGTTTTTGAATTCTTCAATCCCTTGGGCGGAGTTCTTTGCGAGCCTCTTCACAGCAATTTCTTGCCCTTCTACTAACATACCCTGGTTTGACAAAACATTGATTATGTCAGTCACCTTTGCCTTTTTCAGCATCTCCATCAAACTAATATGTCAATGTCAAATTTTGACATATAAGTGAAAAAACAGCTCTCCAATCCAATGCTATTTTTATGTTAAATTTGGTAATACTTAACATGGTGGCAAATTTACCTTAAAAGTTAGCAGATGTTAAATTTAGTATTTGATTGTTTATCAGTTGATACATTAGCTTTTTCATTTAATCATCAACATTCTTCTTCCAAAATTACTTTAATATTAAAAGTTTATTTTTACAAGTTTTAAAGCTTAAGGATTATGAGAAAAACTAGATATGAGATTTGGAATAGCATTATCCATTGGAGCACATCAAATATGCTATTTTCACACAAAGGATTGACAAAGATAGCATTAATATTAGCACTTGCATTGGAGATCGATTATCTAAGGTTGCAACTATGATTTATTGGCAATTGTCAAGAACATGGTTTACCTTATAAACACTGCCGAAACCACCTTGTCCCAGTTTGTTTTCATCAGAAAAGTTATTCGTAGCCATTGCCATTGTACGATAATCGAACAATGGCAAATCTAGCTCATCCTTATCCCTTTCACCCGAGTAGCCCTCTCTCTTTGAATTGACCATTTCATTCAACAGTAAATCCTGGCTCTTTTCACGTGGACCTATATTAGAATCAGCAAATTAATGAATTAAGTAACCAAAAAAAAAAAAATTGTTATACGACTCCAATTTTCATGCATTTGTGAAATTGTTGAGAGTTTATTGGTACCTCTAGTCTCTGTATTTTCTTTAGCCTTCCTCCTCCACACGACAAATAGTACTGATAATAGAACGCAGATACCAACAGCAACTGCCACGATAATGATTATTTTCTTTGGCGTCCAATCATTTTCTGAAGTAACAGTTTGGTGAGGTTAATATTTTCTTGTGAACAATAAAGGTATACAGTACATCAGCTTGATAGAAGACACAAGAAGATGAGGAAATTTCTAACGGTTGGAATCGTTATTTTTTCATTATCGGTGGAAACTGTTATTTCAGTGGATTAAATTTCTGAATGGTTAGATTTATGATTGAACAGTTTTATGTCATATGTTTGCAAATTTTTATGTGCACACTCAAACAATTGAAAATAATGTAATATCTAAAACAACACTATTCTTACCGACACTGAGGGGGAAAAAAAAAATAGTTCTTATTGTAGAAGTACTGTCTAATTAATCATAACTTTTTTCATAAATAAAAGTGAGAATTTTTTCTCTTAAATTATCTCGCATTAATTCATGTACTTCTTCCGTGAAAAGTTGTCAAATAAATACGAAAGAAAAAGTTAAGAGAGTTTCTCCGATAGTCTACTCTATTAATAGTCTCCGTCTTTTAATCTTGAGATTAATCTAAATAACATCAAATTAAAAAAATATGTAAAAGAGTCAAATTTTAATACAAATTTAAAGAATTATCGGTAGTCTATTTTTTTTTTATTGAGAGGTGATGAAGAACTTATTATCCTCGCTTATAAAAAACAAAAACAAAAAAAACAAATAACAGAGGAGGAAAGAGT